CATTCATCTGCTAAATAAGAGGAATCTTTGTAGTAAAGAAAGAAAGTAAAGTAAAAATGGGCATCGGATAGAATCAGCTACAAACGAATTGTTCATCATTTGACTTGTTCATTATCGCATCGACTATATAATTATATTCATCCGATTCGATAAACCTGTCTATAATGACCAATAACTCAGTTCCGATCGAAATTCATCGAATATTAACCGATCGATCCGATATGTTCCAATCCGGTGCCCATATCAAGTATATCGGATTGTAAACTAAGTTTTGACCTTTTCTTGCTAATATCTAGTGCTATATCTCAGCGTAGAATCAGTAAATTTGAATGAAATTTTAAACGGATTATTCTCAAAATCTTAAAAGCTTAATACGGCTCCAATACGGTTCCAATACAGTTCTTTTTAGATCCAATATGGTTCCAATACGGTTCCAATACGGTCCTTTTTGTTCCAATACGGTTCCAATACGGTTCCAATACGATTCTTTTTAGATTCAATACGGTTCCAATACGGTTCCAATACGGTTCCAATACGGTTCTTTTTAGATCCAATACGGTAAAGGGGACAATACGATGCCGCCTCTGCCTCTCGAATCCAGAAGATGTACCGAGAAGCCCGTCCAAGAGCGTTCCGTGAAGTGAACGAAGCTGAAAGCCCATACTGCCAAATCGACGCCATCGATCTTCATCGTCATTACGTGCAAGTCTTAAAATTCATCGAATATTATCCGATCGATCCGATATGGTCCAATCCGGCGCCCATATCAAGTATATCGGATTGTAAACTAAGTTTTAACCTTTTCTTGCTAATATCTAATGCTATATCTCAGCGTAGAATCAGTAAATTTGAATGAAATTTTAAACGGATTATTCTCAAAATCTTAAAAGCTTAATGGCAAAATTATAAAGTTATTCGGCGCTTAGCGACCAAGTTATAGCAAAAAAACACACTTCTACAACCCCTTTTTGACCTTTTTCTACACTTTATTTGTATTTGATTTGTATTGTTTCCTCATGCGCTCGTATTTTTGAATTTGGCCCTGGAAATAAAAAAATTGCCCTCGCGCAGTCTTTTTGCTTTGATTGGATGAATTCGATTGATTCATTCAAACAAAAAATCCTTCTATGATTTCTAAGGGATCTTCTATGCAATGACTTTTTTATTCTGATTTGGATTAAATCAATTTTCACCTAAACAGTAAATGTAAGTATCTTAAAAAGTGAAAAAGTCTCTCTACATACAATTGATCTGGAAAAGATTCGGAGAGCTTTGCATAAAAAGAAAAGTGAGTTTAGTAAGTTTCATTTCTTTGAAAATTTGAAAATAAAAAGCAATTTATAAAGCCGTTGTAGGAGTGTTTGCAAAATCTGCATTTATGGAGAGAACGATCCACATATCTATTCGAATTCGAAATGATTTTGCAAGCAATCGGAAATCAAAGCCAATATCTATTTAATTAATCATTTACCTTTCAATGAAAAATGTGTGAATTTTTGTCCGAATAAAATCTATCTCAATAAAGACTTTACTCTCGAAGATTGTTGTCAAAAAGTGTGTGCATCAGTACATCGGACTCGTCTATATTAGCCTTTATGCAATCGAGGATTTACTGAAAATCATGCAGTGCTTTTTACGAAAAAGTTTTTGAACTTTAAAATGCAACAAAGATCGCCGGGTTATTCTCTGTGCGCGAGCATAAGCGCGCTCGATCTGGCATAGCAAGCCTGCGGATATACTTCCTTTTCACTTGTCAATTCGGGAGCGTCCATTTTGGGTCATCCGGTAACCAATCCGTTGTCTGCCCCATGTGGTCACCGCTTCCCAAGACTAACCTCGGCTGGTAGAACTGGTTAACCCAGTTCCGGCTCATTTTGATCATGATGACGGGTTCTCCGTCGGTCGGAATGGGATCCCAAGTGCCCGTAAAAGGGTGCTGAAGGGAGCCGCTGTGAATTTTTGGATTCATCCCAAGGATTTCGGTCCGTAGGGGCAGCAAAAAATCATGAAACCAAACGAGCTCAAGCATTGGAAAATTCCAGAGATCATGTTGATCAAAACCGTTGATCATGATCATGTTGATCAAATCAAAACCTAAAATAGCCGTTTGTGGTTTAAAATGGCCTAAAATGAAACTTTTTCGAAAAACAGAAGCTCTAGAAGACGAACGAACAAAAAGAGTTCTTTTATGTTATTTTCTCTGCATATGGCAGCTCTGAACCTGTATTGTAGTGTATTTGAATTACAAAAAGTATTTATACATTACACTTTCGAATAATATAAAAAAATTCGTTTTTTTGGCGGCTTCTTTTGCAAAAATGCTAATAGTTTCATTTGTAGCGAGACTCAAATCTTCGTTATTGGTGAAATAATCGAGAAGTTTGCAACCAAATGGGAGGAGAATTTCAAACAAAAGCTTTGACAAAGATTTCACTGGCAACAACGAAGGACTTCTGATTGGTTCGACTGGCATTGTCTCGTTTAGTTGTGAGAAAATCCTGTAATAAATTGTTCTTAGAGAATGAAAAAGGAGAACTAGATACTTGACTAAAAACACTGCAAGAAACTCATCAATTTTTTCATTTTTTTATACAAATTGTACAATAAGGCCTAATTGTACAATTTAAATTTAAAAAAACCCAACTCTTTATATAATAAATCGCCATCTTCTTGATATTCTTCATCCACTGGAAAAGCCAGACAAATCATTAAAAAACAAAAATAAAAACTGTAGATTGGCTTCATAGAATTCGTGGAGAAGAAGGATATTGTGCTATGAAGTGTCGAGGAAGGCAACTGATCGACTTCTTGGACCACTTCCCGTCCAAGAAAACTTGTGCAAATAGAAGATCCCTTGATGATGTTTATCCTTCCCTTTTTGAACCATATAAACAGACGTTGAATCATCAATATATTCATAGCCTGAATCTCTTGTTGGTACATGCAAAGTGATAGAAATCGAGTTCCGCTTTCAATTTCTTTCAAAATTCTGAGTTTCTATATTGTTTTTTCGGCAATCTCTAGAAACAAAAACTCCATAAACTTCAATGTTCGAGAAATGACATTTTTGACTCTCATAGCAAAGATTTAAATTGCAACTTTACGATAAGCCGATTAGCAGAAATTACTGTTTCCAAATTACGATAGCAGAGAATAAAAATCCCGAAATAAAATATTCTAGCTTTAGAAAAAAAAGCTGGGAAAATCGGGGGGAAAAAGGCATTTCCCTTATTTTTTCGGTTATATTCGCCATTTGATCATCGAAACTCATAAAAAATCGCATGTAGACCTTAAAATGATCATGTTTTGCAAAACAATTGCCTACATGTTTTTTTAAGCTTTATGGTTTACGGTAAACAGTTGTTGTACGGTGCATGGTAAACATTTAAAGTTTAATGAATTGACCCAGAAATCACGTATTCGACTATAGCTAACAAAAAAAATGTTATTTTCTCAGCTTTAAAACAGTTTCAATGAGCTTCTCGAACATTGGTAATAGACCAAATTTATCCACTTAATCACGAGTCGATCATAAATGTTAGCTTGAGGAAAAAATAATAAACAAACGCACATCAATCAATGAGATATTCTCCATTATTATTGATGACCTGTTCCCATCTTCATCGCAACTCCCTGATCCCATCCTCAAAAAATGGGAAATTTTCGAGCCAAAATAAGTGTTGACTGCTTTTTTTTTGTTCTGTGCATGATTCTCGAACTTTTCTCCCATAAGAAAACTCTTCAACGATCGAAACAAAAAAAATAATCTGATGGGATCAGGCCCAGACTATAAGGTGCGTGGGGCAGAAGTTTCCAACCAAGCTCGTCGCTTTTTTGGTGAGTGATTTTTTGCAGTGTGAGCTTTTGCATTATCATGCAAAAATCGCAATTCTGATGTTTAAACGCCCTATTTCTTTAAAGCCTCGTTAAATCTCATCAACTTTTTTGAATAAAGATCAGCGGTGACAGTTTCGAGTGATAAGGGTTGGATTGAGTTCAATGGCATCAAGCGAATCCTCATCTGAAATCCATGTTTCATCAGATTTTAGAATTCTTCCCCAAAAATCATGAGGTTTGCCTTTTTGAAGCAAAGTAGAGCTAACGATAACACGAGTTGTTTTGTTGTCTTGAGTCAGTTCATGAGGAACCCATCTTTCGCAGTGAATTGTTTTTCCTAATTGATGTAAGTGGGTGTCGATTGTTTTTTGGTCCATCCCAAATGTGTCCGCTAACTCACGAGTGGTAAGGGTTGGTTTGAGTTCAATGGCATCAAGCAAATTCTCATCTGAAATCTCCTGGGGTCGTCCAGACCGTTCCTCGTCTTGGAGACTTTCATTTCCATTTTTTAACCGCTGAAACCATATTTGGCATTGTCTTTCGCTAATGCTGTTTTTCCCAAAAACTTCAATGATTGTCCGATGCTATTCAGCCGCGGATTTTCCTTGTTTAAAATCATACCACAAAGCGGCTCGAAGTCGAAACTTTTCGTCTTGCATTTTGTACCTGAAAATATTGTTAAATTTGTAAAAATTTGTAAAAGTCAAATATAATATGAAAGTATAGAGTGTCTAGCTGAAATCTATTTTAGAAAAATCGCATAAGAAATAACTGGAAAAGCGCTAACAACGGGAATTCAAAACCGACATTACTTTTTCCTCAACCTAATAGAAATAGAAATTGAAATTGAAATTGAAACATGCTGGGAATACTCTTAATATAGTATGAACTAGCTTAGCAGGCTTAGGCTTTTTCAGAATAAAGGAAAAATACAATCATTGAAAGTCAAGGAAAAATACAATCATTGGCAAATCATCGAATAGATGTATCAAAAAGGTGTTGAAACGGTTACCAATCGATTCAGCCCATTTGATTTCCCTAGAAGAAAGAAAATTGTCAGTACAATCATTCGAAATGTTTTTATTTTTCGACCAATCGATTCAGCCTATTTGATTTTTCTAAAAGAAAGAAAACTGCCAGAACAATCATTCGAAGTGTTTCTAATGATTCTGCTGGCAATTTTCTTTCTTCTAGGGAAATCAAATGCGCTGGTAAACCGTTTCAACACCTTTTGGATACATCTATTATCTCAGCATTATCTCGTTGCTCACATTTGGATACTCTTAAAATAGTATGAACTAGCTTAGCAGGCTTAGATTTTTCAGAATAAAGGAAGAATACAATCATTCAAAATATTGGGTTCGTGCCCCCCGAGCCTATAGTACTAATTTAGTCAGCGATTCGCGATGGAGACAATATATTAGATGATCTGATCCCTCCGATGGGAGATCTCCATTTGCCTGTGGTGGGTAGCTTATTGTCGTTTTTTGGTACGTAGAATAACTTGAAATTCAATGTTTATGTTTAATTTTTAGTTTCCTGAGGGAAAATCGTGGACCGACACGAGCACATCGTTTCGATCATGGAGGTTTGTGGTTTCAAGAAATAAATGTATTTCCAACTTGTTACTTGTTTGAGTTTTAGCGTAAATTAAGCTTATGCGGTAGTACTATAACAATTTAGCAATGCCTTTACTTCTGCTAAATTACAAAATTTAATAATTTTGCGTTTTAGGTATAGCCATCATCGTTTCAAAGGCGCCGAAGTGGCTGAATGTAGCGAGAATGACCTTCCAATGAAGGTTAATATGAACTTTGTATAAACAATAAAGGTTTCTTTAGGTAGAACACATCTATTACTGGCCTGGCGATCATATTTCTTTCCCGTGCAAAGTTTGTCAACGGTTAGTTTCGTCCATAGGATCTAAATAAAATGTTCTGTTCGAATTTTAGAGATCTCGATTCAAATGGGAAGATCAAAACGTGGGGTTGGGCCGCAAAAGTATACGACTTTTTCGATCATTACCAGAAGAATAAGGTACACTTCTTTTCGACTTTCTGCTATTGTTGCCACATTTAGAAGTTGCAACACGCGGATGTTGGCGTGCAATTTTTAGAACTCAATTCCGAGAACAATACAAGATTGAATGAATTCGAGGGATCAGGGGATTCTGATCCGTCTTACATGTCCGGAAATCGGTGCGTTTATTGTTTTTATTAAAGAAATAAGGTACTTATTGTCTTGTTTGTTTAGAAAAATTTGTTTCTTTAGAATTCAGGCTAAAGAGCACGGATTTTTGTCCCATATTCGACGACAAACGTTCGAACAAATTGGCAATACGTTACACATTCATAATGTAAGTTTATGTGTTTAGTTGTAAGTTTATCTGATTTTTTAGGCTGAAGCAAAGGCGGCTGGTGTATATTTTTGCTACGATGACGCCGCGATCAATTTGGTATACTTTCACAGCGGCAATGAAATTTTTACCCATGTTTAGGTCCGCTATTTCTATATTCTCCACGCAATGACGCCGATCAATAAAGTGAAAAGAATTTTTTAGCTTTCAATGCTTCTAAAAATAAACTTTTCTTCGTTGTAGTCAAAAGAAAGCGGATAATAGCGGAAACACGTAAAGCGCATTTAGAAGAAATTTGCGGGCTCTTTATGCAGGTCTTCGAATCTTCGAGTCCAAGTCTTCGAATAAGTTTTAAGACGTTTGCCCAACCAGTTATGAAAACCTGATGAAAACTACCGTAAATGCTGTAATAGTACCCCATCCCCATAATGACGGTGAAGAAAATAGAGACGATTTTGGAAGTGAAAGGGAATAGTGACATCAAATGAAAGAGATACATGAGTAAAACGGAATCTTTGTTATCAAAAAAATAGCCGTGAATTTCAGCTATTTTTTGATACCTAAGCGCGCATTGTAGCATAAACCAATGTCGAGAAAAACTCGTTCAAAGCTAGACTACGCAACACTCTGCACCGTCATTATGGGGGTGGGGTACTATTACAGTATTTACGGTAATTTTTTCTGAAAGTACTAAAAGTAAAGTGAGTCCAAATCGACGCTGAGCTGAGCTGAATAAAAGAATTTAAAAAGATATTCAGTTTGGCAACTGTAATTATTTCTGTAATTAGAGACAATGAATGAGAGAACGACTTTACTTTTCTTTAAGATAAGTTTTGTGTTTTAATTTTTGATTTTTGATTCATAAATAAGTACTTAGAGTAAACTATTGTAAAAATATAAAAGAAATGTGACTCAAGCCAAAAAAACCCTTTAGTAAAAAAATTGTAGTCCATTTTTTTTTTCATCTTGATCAGCACCAATAAAAGAGAAATGAATGCCAATCGAGTGACACAAGGATTTATTTTGCAATAAAGGTCTTTTATAGATATAGGAGAACCTCATTACTTTCTGAGATCTCGCCAAATTTTTTTAAATTTTTTATATTTTTATTTTATTTTAGAAGTATACCAAAAGAAATATTTTTAATCCGCCAAAAAAACGAATTTTTTTATATTATTCGGAAGTGTAATGTATAAATCCTTTTTATAATTGAAATCCACTACAATACAGGTTGAGCATATGTAGAGATATGCAGAGAAAATAACATAAAAGAACTCTTTTTGTTCGTTCGTCTTCTAGAGCTTCTGTTTTTCGAAAAAGTTTCATTTTAGGCCATTTTAAACCACAAACGGCTATTTTAGGTTTTGATTTGATCAACATGATCATGATCAACGGTTTTGATCAACATGATCTCTGGAATTTTCCAATGCTTGAGCTCGTTTAGTTTCATGACTTTTGCTGCCCCTACGGACCGAAATCCTTGGGATGAATCCAAAAATTCACAGCGGCTCCCTTCAGCACCCTTTTACGGGCACTTGGGATCCCATTCCGACCGACGGAGAACCCGCCATCATGGTCAAAATGAGCCGGAACTGGGTTAACCAGTTCTACAGCCGAGGTTAGTTTTGGGAAGCGGTGACCACATGGGGCAGACAACGGATTGGTTACCGGATGACCCAAAATGGACGCTTCCGAATCGACGAGCGAAAAGAGAGTATATGGGCAGGCTTGGCATGCCAGATCGAGCGCGATTGTGCTCGCGCACAGAGAATAACCCGGCGATCTTCTTTGTTGCATTTTAAAGTTCAAAAACCATATGCAGACATGTTAACGGACGAGACGAATTCGTAAATTTAAAGAAAAAAACGAATGATCGAAATCATCTTTCTATCCAGCACATCTTTCTATCCAGAGAGAAAGATCAGAACATAAAGAAATAGAAAAGATAAACGATTTCCCAAGACCATTATCGAGATTCATTAATCTAGAGCTTACACCAACTGGATCTACTTAATGTATCCCTGAAATTAACCCGCTTGTATTGCTCAAAAGGGAAAGGCACCAGACTCCTTAAGATACCGCCACACGCCCGCTCGATCACTGCCTCGGTGGTCTAGTGGATAGTCTGCTAGACTAGCGAACTTCTCGCGTTCGACTCCCACTCAAGAATCTTAATCAGTCGACATCAGAAAATCCAAATCAATTCAGCTTGGTCTAATCGGCTCCTCAATTTTCTTAACTGCTTCCATTTTCATCATTCTCAATCGCCGCATCAAATCTCAGGCAATCAAATGCATTTTTTTGGTTGCATCATTTTCCAATGTTATTTCTATTTCTATTTCTATAAAACACATTGTATTTTGACGTGAGTTTTCTGAAAAAAGTTTTCTTATCAAGTTTAGATGAGATTGTGTAAATGTATTTGGATATCAAATCAATTGCATCAATACTGAACAAACAGTTTCCAAAAAGGATTAGAAATTCACAAGTTACCTCGTTTTTTTTTCTAATTGAATGTTTGTATGGGCAATTTTGATTCAATCATGAGATAACGATTGCTGTACTTTTGTGATAATTGTAGATTCAATTAGAGGCTTTAGATATCAAAAATTGTAGTCATTGCTCTTGATTTTTGCTTTTAAATTTTCAAAAGTTTGTGAGAGTTTGGCGGGTACTTTGTTGGAAGTGAGAGAGCGCGCTGAAAGGATGGAGATGAGAGATTAGTGTAGATTTTACCTTATCTACAATAACCTCCCTCTCACTTCCAACTTTTCTCATCGTTCCTGAGGATCCTTGTGGATTGGAGTCACAAGTCGAACTTGAATATCTTCTATCCGGAGTGCTGACCGGTGAAAATGATTGTGTAAATGTATTTGGATATCAAATCAATTGCACCAATACTGAACAAACAGTTTCCAAAAGGGATTAGAAATTCACAAATTACCTCGTTTTTTTTCTAATTGAATGTTTGTATGGGCAATTTTGATTCAATCATGAGATAACGATTGCTGTACTTTTGTGATAATTGTAGATTCAATTAGAGGCTTTAGATGTCAAAAATTATAACCATTACTCACAAACTATTTTGGGTTTTTGCTTCTAAAATTTCTGAGAATTTGGCGGGTACTTTTCTAAGAAATGATCGATAAGTTGAGGAGAAGTGGTGAGGGGAAAACAGCGTTGATTGTTCGATTGGGAAAGCTTTCATCTAAAAGACATATTCACAAAATTAACAATCAATACGTAAAGCCAATGAGTGAAATTTATCCGTAAAGTTGTCAATATTTACAAAAACATTTTAAAATATTCCCAGTTTTATTCCCATTTCCCCATTCCCATTTCCCCATTCCCATTTCCCCATTCCCATTTCCCCATTCCCATTTCCCCATTCCCATTTCCCCATTCCCATTTCCCCATTCCCATTTCCCCATTCCCATTTCCCCATTCCCATTTCCCCATTCCCATTTCCCCATTCCCATTTCCCCATTCCCATTTCCCCCATTCCCATTTCCCCATTCCCATTTCCCCATTCCCATTTCCCCATTCCCATTTCCCCATTCCCATTTCCCCATTCCCATTTCCCCATTCCCATTTCCCCATTCGCTTTCCAACAATCCACCAGTTGGAATACAGTCGAGAACCACGGGAATTCTGAATATCTTTTGATTGTGAATAATATTTTGATCTTACTTGTTCGCTCTTAGCTTCTTAGCTTCAATGATGGACCCAAGAATGGCATTAAGAAGAAGACATTTCACGAAAAGTAGTCAAAAGATTGTAGATTTGATTTTGCATTGCATTGCAGAGAGCGAGAGGTGAATGACACTCTCTTGCATTGCATTGTAGAGAGTGCCATTCACCTGAATATCTTGAATATTGAATATATATTGAATAGATATTGAATAGAATAGAATTGATGACCAAAGATCACAATGAAGAAAGCACATTGAGTACTTGAAGACAAAGAACCGAAAAGAAAAGCAAAAAGCAAAAGCAATGACTATAATTTTTGATATCTAAAGCCTCTAATTGAATCTACAATTATCACAAAAGTACAGTAAACGTTATCTCATGATGGAATCAAAATTGCCATAAAAACAGCCAATTAGAAAAAAAGCGAGGCAACTTGTGATTTATAATCCCTTTTGAAAAATTGTTTATACAATATTGATATAAATTTTCTGACTTGAAAATTCTTTTTCACCTTTTGTCTCAGTTTTAAGTTTTGGCTTCTCAGTTCTGGTTCTGGCTCTAGCTTTAGCTCTATTTGAATGACCGAGTTGACTCTGTGATACAAATTTTCCCCTGGAGTAAACGGAGAACAAGTCAAGTCAAGTCAAGTCAGTCAAATCAATTTCTAACACTGGAATTTGGCTTAGCTTTGGCTAATCTTGGCTTTGGGTTTTCTGTTGATCTCTGAAAAAAGGAAAACAGTGGCAGAGTGATTCTTTAAAGATCTGATTGGAAATGATTGGAAATAATTGGAAATAATTGGAAAAATTCTTTGTTCCCATTTCGATCTAAATTCTTTGTTCCCATTTCCATCTAAATTCTCTGATAGCTATGAGTTCTTGAAAGGTTTGTTAGCCTTTAAATTCCTTGATTACATCACTACAAAATCAGAGTCCATTTCAACAATTGCCCCTTAACTTCTCACAAGGAAATGTCCCGAATTTGGAGGTCAAATGACACGAGCCATGTACTATTCAAAGCAGAATTTTCTGTTGATTCCGAATCTGCTTTCCGTTTTTGATATAGAGGCTTCTGTTAAAAGTTATAAGTTCTCAAAGTTTTGTATGGAATTTTAAGAATCATCGAGTTTATAGGTAGATTTCCCAAAGGCAGAGATGGCCGAGTGGCAGTGCGCCAGAATTCAAGGCAGGCCCTCTCTAGTTCCGTTCCACTTTCTTGGCTTTTTGGCCACCACACACACCACAGCCGTTGACACTTCCTTGTCAGTAACATTGTGATCCCTTAACTTCAAATAGTTCACACATTCCCACTTCCCACTTTTTCCAAATCATTAAAATCTCGTACTTTGTTCCTATTTCCATCGAAATTTCTTCATTTTCAAAAAGATCTTCGCAAATTCAAATCCCTAGAGATTTTGCTAACAATTGATATTTTATTTCATGATTTAATTACTATTCAATCAACACCGAGTTTTTAAAAAAAATATCTAGTTCCAAGGACTTTTTGTATCAAAAGATTCGGATTGTTAAAATTTTCAGACAACAAAAATTCTCTTTTTAAATGTTTTTGTTTATTCTAGTTTCTTCCTGTATACAAATTATTCATTCATTTTTATTTAGATTTGACTTAAAACCTTTTCCAGAATATGTCGAACATATCCGCTTTTGAGACGGCTTGCATCGCGGCTGGACGGCTGACTTTTGGAACACTGTAAGTTCGGGATACTGTAACTGTTTCTCAAATCTTCAAGAACCCAAAGAACTTTGAAGCCTTATTGATAAGCATTTGAGCTCATTTCTTCAAAGTGCACTAATTTTAGTTCTTTCTGGTTGTTAAACTCGACAAAATCGTTTAGAATTCAAGAAATCTCATCGAACTTACAATCTACTAGATATAAAAGAGCAGTGTCCTTCTGTAAGGGCTTTTTCTCAAGCGTTCTTTAAGCCTTTAAGCCTTTCTTTAAGCCAAAAAACTTTATAAAGTCTTAACATATAATATAGTTGTGTCATTTAGAATAAAAAATTTGAAAAGTGATGATTGACGGTTGGTCCGGGGGCCGAACCTGGATCATGCGGGTTGTAGGGAAACGCTCTACCGACTGCGCAACCGTGCTGTTGTTCCGGGTCTCTAGCAATCAGCATATGAGAAACGTACCCGTCTTTTTAACCAGCGAAGCTGATTAGTCGAGAATTCAGCGTTTGTAAAGTGTTTTTGATTGTTTTTATGAAAGAAATGAATGCTAAAGCTCTATGCAAGCTTGCTAAAAATATAATAACTGTAAACTTTAATTTAAAGCATACAAATGAGTCTCTCAAAGATCTCTCATTGAAAAGGCTCATTGAAAAGACTCATTGAAAGCTCACAGACTTCTCTCAACAATCTAATCTATACCAGTCATTTCTAGATACATTTGGCAAGACTTGACCAAAGCTTTTCTCAACTCTTTATCTTCTTTCTTCATCATTTACATGTTTGTGCGCAGGTTGATTTGGGTGCACAACGAGTTTCATGTTAGTGCTAAGCATTTACCAAGAAAAGAAGGGGCTTTTTTACTGTTAAACTTCAGGGACTCATTGCTTTTAAACTATTCATTGTTTGGATCTATGCTATAAACAATTCCATTGTACATGTAAGTTCTGAAATTCTTACTTTAAACCCCTTTTTGTCTTTAGTGGTTACCAATCGTTGAACGCTGGATTTATACAGATTCTTGTATGTACGTCTACATCAGTAATCGAGTGCTTTTATTTAAAATTGTTCAGGTAGAGAGTTGAAAACTCAGTCTCAGCTACAAAACCATTCTTGGTGTTGAGCTCAAAAGCAATTCTGGGCTCTTAGAGACTACTCGAAGTCAATCGAGTAGTCTCACTCTACTCGAGTTTCAGTACTGTTGCATGATCTCAATGTCAACAACGATCCTTCTCTTATTGGCTGAAAGATCACTTGCTTTACATTCACAAGTCTCTGAACGTAAATCACAAATGATTACGCGAGCTTTTATTCTTTTTGAGGTAAATCTCGTTTGTGGTTACGATTTTCGTTTTTTCTTTTTTTTTCTTTAACTCCATTTAGATTGTGATTTTTTTAACGGTTACATTCAAATCGATTGATATCGAACATGATGAAATCTGGCCGATTCTTCATCCTTTAGAAGATACACAAGTAAGTTTGTGCGTATCTTTGTCGCAATTAGTCGCAAGCGGCACAATGCTCTTCGTTAGCCAACCGGAAAGCCCCGGTTTAATTACCCAAGTTTTGGGGAACGTATCTAGAACCTCGATCTAAAAGAATCTAGAAGACTAGAGAAAGCTAGCGTCCTCCAGGCTTTTGAGAAGAACTTGTCACTGTTGAAATCCTATGAACTTTCTGTCCAATTTCTCAGATCAATCACCACATGAAAGTACATAGTTCATACGATACAGTATCCCCTTTTTCATCTCCTTTTTCTTCAGAACATCAATTGCACTTATCTTCTCAATTCCACTCAAATTTAGACCCTTGCTCCTTTGGGCAATACTATAGCAACAGCAATTATCTGTGTTGATGTCCCAACGATGGCCTATTGCCTTGTGCTGAGGACATTTTGCAAGAGAAAACTCAAAACGTGAGAGATTTTCTGAGTTTCTGAAGAAAATTTGGCGAAAGATTCCAAGAATGCTGTTGCCTTTTTGAACTGATAATTTAGCTTTAAAAAAAGTATCTAGAACCAAAGACTAGAGAAAGCGTACTCCAGGCTTTTGAGAAGAACTTGTCACGGTTGAAATGCTATGAACTTTGTGTCCAATTTCTCACATCAATTTTTTTTTTTTAAACTTTTCGTTAGTTTTAATGAGAACTTAATGAGGAAAGGGTTTTTGAGTGTAAATTTGCCGAAAAAGTGGGCAATTCTAAAAGTGGAGATTTGTGAAGCTATAATCTTCTCAGATCCAAACAAATCGTGAAGCAAATCGAATCAAAATTGGGTAGAATGGGCCAAAATTTGAAGGAAATTTAGCTTACAAAATTGTCTACAGAAAACTAGTTTCACAAATCCAATTAACTCTTAACAGTTAAGAGTTAAGAGTTAAGTTACAATAACTCTTCTCTCTTCTCTTCTCTTCCTCTTCTCTTCTCTTCCTCTTCTCTTCTCTTCCTCTTCTCTTCTCTTCCTCTTCTCTTCCTCTGCTCTTTCCTCTTCTCTTCTCTTCTCTTCTCCTCCCTTCTCCCCCTTCCCCCCCTCTCCCCCCCCCCCTCCCCCCTCCTTCTTCCCTCCCCCCCTCCCCCCCCCTCTCCCCCCCTCCCCCCCCCCCCCCCCCCCCCCCCCCCCCCCCCCCCCCCCCCCCCCTCCTCTTCCTCTCCCTCTCTCTCTTCTTCTCTTCTCTTCCTCTTCTCTCTTCTTCTCCTCTCCTCTCTTCTCCTCTCTTCTCTTCTCTCCTCTTCTCCTCTCCTCTCCTCTCTTCTCTTCTCTTACAAAACCCAAAGCCTTGAGCGAACAATTTGAAAAGCTATTAACAAAATACTGTAACTCTTCTTGCATAGAGATCAAAGATTTCCCAAAAACAGCTGATATTCAGAAATCATCAATCCCTCCAAATCACTTATAAACTTCGCTATTCATTGACCGTCGTTGATGCCTTTATTCCCGTGATCTTCTTCCACGGAGCTGTTCTATTGTTTAACAACATTTCTGTACTCATTTCGCCGATGATATTAACCTCATTAGATCTTGTGGCAAAGAAAAACTATCATGGGTTAACAAATGTAAGTTTCATATGCATAAAGCTTTCATATAAAACTTTTTCAAAATTATTTTAGATAATGCCTTACTACACTGTGATCATGCCAATTCTCTATCTTTATGCTCTTCGAAAGTTGAGAGAAAGGTGAGGGTAATTTGAGAAATTCTTCAATATCAATTCTTAGAAGAGAACGCGAATTCCTGGGCACGAAAGAGCCACGTCTTAATGGAAAAATTGTTCCATATGGAGATGTCTATCATTCAAGAATTCGATCAATTTGGGAAACAAAAGAAGTTGTGAAAAAGCGGAAGAGTTTATTCTTTTGTTAGAATTCAATTTACATACAATTCTCTTAAATAAATAAATAAAACCTTAAATAGAGTAGATTTTAATTTAATTTAATCATTCTTTTTAAATTCATTAGATTTTAAAAGTTTTCTTCTTAGTTCTGTTTTATTTTTTGTTTTCTTAATGTTCAAACACTTGCTTGATCTCTGAAATCTTCCAGTTTTCCTTTACTTTTCTAATTGTTATCTAAAGGAGTTGATTAATTTTGTTAATTTTATATGTATGGAGTTGGGGGTGGGACAAATGCGACCTTTTTTTGCGCACCTGGACATTTGCGCACCTTTTTTTAGGAAAAGGCCTTAGGCAAGGCCGTAGAGCTTCCCTATAAGGGAATCGTATGCGTAGATTCCGAATTTCGACAAATCAGACCTCGCTGACACGTCAAATTTGGGCTAAAAGGCAAAAACTGCGGAAAAGCGTTAAGTTTGCGTAGTTTTTGCCTTTTAGCCCAAATTTGACGTGTCAGCGAGGTCTGATTTGTCGAAATTCGGAATCTACGCATACGATTCCCTTCTGTGGAAACATTTTTGAAGCTCTACCACCTTTCCTAAGGCCTTTTCCAGCAAAAAAAAGGTGCGCAAATGTCCAGGTGCGCAAAAAAAAAGGTCGCATTTGTCCCACCCCCATGGAGTTAAGTTTATATGTATAGAGTTAGTTTTATATGTATGGAGTTAAGTTTATATTATTTTTTTAAAAGCCAATGTTTAATGAAACAGTAGATTACATCAAAAACTGTAAGAATAAGTCAAAATCTTTATTGATTAGTTGCTTTGTGATCATTTGATTTGTCATTGCTTTGCATTTAAAAGTCATTTTTTTTTTGTTTTCCTTTGTTCTTATAGTTCTTTTTTTCTTGCTTCCTGATAAAATTAAAGAGAAAAAGCCAAAGATTACAAAGCTATCTACCCAATACCTTACATTACCCAACGAAAAACTGAGCGTGTTAAAGCTCAATCTAAATCCCATTTCGAAGACAAAAATTCCACCCAAGCTTTTGGTATCGGCCAGGCAACCAGTGCAGAAAAAAAAAGAGACGAGAAGCGATAGTAAGGCGACGATATCTAGAAATCAAGTGGGTAGTAGCATGAACCGATAAAAAAAGCACGTCTTTCGGAATTTTCTAGCATGTTTAGAAATGTCCAGCACTTATGTGATCTTTTGTTTTGTAAATGTGATCCTTTGTTTACCTATTTTCATTATTTATTTTTCGACTTCTCGTCCTCAACGCTCCGTTCTTGCCCGAAATGACATGCTAAAAGGTATGTTTTTGAAAGCTAACTAATTTAGCATTTCTTTTTAGGAGTTGATGCGTAATTCGGCAACGTCAAAAATTCAGAGACTATTTTTCTATCGTTATCAAGCTTGAATCAAGAAGCTCAATATCAACAAATATTCCCAATTATGTCTAGTTTTAAAAACGAATCTTAGAATCACATAGCAACATCTCAAAATAAGCCTTGAATCTAGTAAATGAGTAAATCAATCAATAAAATCAATAAATAGCCTACTGTAGGCATCAAATTTCCATTCAAAAACCAATCTGAAAACTAGAATCTATTTAGATCTCTTGAAAAAATGAGCTTTAATTGCGTGATTTCCATTGATTGTCATTCATTGTCCAACATCCAATTTAACCCCCATTGTTCTTTGAGATAAACACAGAAGTCGGGTTTTGGTGTTGGTATTGGCTCCTCACCAGGCTCTAGCCATTGCCGTTTTCGTGTAGAATTATCATATTGAATCCATTTTTCATCGCAAGTAAGGATTTCATCGTAAAACCCAGTATTTTTTTGCCAAACGATGAAGAATACCCGCCATAGTGACACGAGTAGCTTTATTGGCATTGCTGAGAAGATGAGGAACCCATTTCCCTTGTCGACTTGTTTTCCCCAATTGATGTAAATGCTCGGAAATTGTTTGACGGCTTACTCTAAATATTTCTGGAAGTTCACGTGTAGTTTGTCGAGGATCCATTTCTATCGCCTGCTTCAGTACTGCATTATCGATCGCAGGAGGTCGTCGTTGGTGGTCTTCGTCTTCCAAAGGTTCATTTCCTTCTCGAAATCGTTGAAACCATCGGCGACACTGGCTTTCCGAAATAGCATCTTCGTCAAATACTTTGCAGAGATCTCGATGGGATTCAACGGCATTTTTGCCCCTATTTGAAGTCATACCAAAGACTGGCACGAATAGAGTGTGCTCCTTGTTGACAGACAATTTGTCAGACAAATTTTCATTGACAACATTGACAACTTTTCATTGACAAGACAATTGATCCGACAAACTTCCGACAACGCGTTTTCTAAAAGGTGCGCTTTTTAAGCAAAGCTATAAAGGTCGCGCGAAAAAAAATTTGCAAACTTTTCTTAAAATATAGTAATGGATTGTTTTATTTAAGGATTTAGGTTTTTTAGGGCGTGGAATTTTTTTTTTGGAATGGTTCTAGTGCAAATGTAGACAATAGGTCTGGTAAATTCGTAAACAATATAATTTTTTAATAGTGTTTCTTAACTTTTCCCGTTTTAAATGTTTTCTTTAATTTTACATAGCATTTAAAAAGTTTTAAGTTTTAGCGAAAGAGTTATAGAGTTAAGGAAAGAGTAATAGAAAAAAAGAGCGCAAGATTTTAATGTACATTTGCATTTTGAAAAATTTGCTGATGCAAAGCATAGGGTAGCTTATCCTTGGCGCGCGCTTTTTAGAAAACGCGTTGTCTGCAAGGAACACACTCTAGGCACGAAGACGAAACTTTGTCTCGGTCATCCCACACGGAAATTAAATCAAAAATTAATTAGTTTAACGTCAAAAACACGAAAAGTTGTAATAAATAAGAAATCTTGAACAGCATATAGAGAATAGGGTTTGATAAAATTGTATAGCCCTAAGGTATTGTATTGTATAGCCCTAGCTGTTCAAGAGCAGGCGCGCATTCATAACTGGACAACCTAATATATAGTAGGTAAGTCGCTCAGTGCATTAGAAGGTCAAATTTCAAATGCGTTTTTACAGAAATCTAGAGCAAAAAAGGCAATGACAAAAAGGCAAAAGCTAAAAACGCCATCGTGTTGTCCATGTCCGACTTGCGCAAGTCATACAGCTTTGATCCGGCTTCGCGGCTTTGATCCCAGCGAAATCTCACCGTTCCCTAGTTAGCTTTTCTGACGCCATACTTTTTTAAAAAAAAAACAGTATCACTTTATCGTGATTCTCTTTTTTAATCGAATCGTGTCACGGGTTGAGAGTAGATCGTCGGCTTTTTTTTTGACCACTACAATCCCTTTTCTCTTTCACATCTACAATCGAGCAAGTACAGAAAAATTATTCATCAAAAAATTATGATCATTATCCAATAAAAGCTCCTTGTGACAAGTGACACGCAAATTTTTGTTTTTACTTAGACGGCTACAATTGGTTTTTGAATAAATCCTCGCGAATTCTCTCAAAAAGGTTGCTCTTAGTAGTCTTTTTTTTCATTAATTTTAATTTTCGTTGAACTTGCGTGTGGGTTCACTTTTGACGCGACAAATTCTAATTTTAGAACCGTTTTTCTGTTGATCTATTTACGGCTTGCTAGGAATTAGACTATAAATAGCAAAGGAATTTGCTCCCAGTCTATATTAGATCATTTATTCTGTTCATGATTAGTAGATTGGTCCTGCTTCAGTTCCCGCCATAGTGACACGAGTAGCTTTATTGGCATTGCTGAGAAGATGAGGAACCCATTTCCCTTGTCGGCTTGTTTTCCCCAATTGATTTAAATGCTTGGAAATTGTTTGAGGGCTTACTCTAAATATTTCTGGAAGTTCACATGTAGTTTGTCGAGGATCCATTTCTATCGCCTGCTTCAGTACTGCATTATCGATCGCAGGAGGCCGTCGTTGGTGGTTTTCGTCTTCCAAAGATTGATTTCCTTCTCGAAATCGTTGAAACCATCGGCGGCACTGGCTTTCCGAAATAGCATCTTCGCCAAATACTTTGCGGAGATCTCGATGAGATTCAGCGGCATTTTTGCCCAATTTGAAGTCATACTAAAGGCTGGCACGAAGACGAAACTTTGTCTCGGTCATCCCACACGGAAATTAAATCAAAAATTAATTAGTTTAACGTCAAAAACACGAAAAGTTGTAATAAATAAGAAATCTTGAACAGCATGTAGAGAATAGGGTTTGATAAAATTGTATAGCCTTTAGTGATGAGTGAAGCTAAAGTTAAAGTCATAAGTTTAGCTGGTGTGTGGATGCTGGTGCTTGTGTGCAGACGACTCAGGCCGGTTGTGGGAAAGTGGGTTTCTTTAGGCACTTACAGTACTGGACAATGAAATATGATATTTGAAAAAACGATCGTCACTTTCGCGCGTCTGTAACTCCCTTGTCTTTGAGTTTAAACTATTAGTGTTCTACATTTTCTGAAACCTCTTTTCCAGGGCTACACAATGGTAATATTAATATTTAGAAATACGGTAAAGACAAGGAAGTTACAGACGCGCGAAAGTGACGATCTTTTTTCAAATATCATATTTCATTGTCCAGTAGTGTATGCTGTTCAAGAGCAGGCGTGCATTCATAACTGGACAACCTAATACAAATATTCCTAATTATGTCTAGTTTTAGAAATAAATCTTAAAATCACATAACAACATCTCAAAATAAGCCTTGAATCTAGTAAATGAGTAAATCAATCAATAAAATCAATAAATAGCCTACTGTATGCATCAACTTTTCATTCAAAAACCAACCTGGAAACTAGAATCTATTTAGATCTCTTGAAAAAATGAGCTTTAACCGCTTGATTTCCATTGATTGTCATTCATTGTCCAACGTCCAATTTAACCCCCATTGTTCTTTGAGATAAACACAGAAAATGACACTTTTTTTTGAGATTTCCTTGAGATTTTTCCGCTTTTCATACAATCATACTCACTTGTATTCATGTTTTTTTTGACTGTTTTTGTAAGATAAATTATTGGATAACAAGATTTTCTTGGGCATTATCCGTATTTTGCTTTCAGTTTATCACACGTGGTCGGTTTGTTCTCAACGATCAACGACAGGAATAGTTTTCATTTGATAGTTCGATAGTTCGTTCGATAGATCGTTCGATAGTTTGTTCGATAGCTCGTTCGATAGCCTAGCCTTTTTCAAGTGTTCAAACCTTTACACGACACTCCAATTTCCTGACTGTACTTGTTTTTGATTCTTAGTGAATTTCTAACCTTTCCTCACATGATATCAGATTTTATATTAATGTAAAACATTTTGAGTCAGTGAACTTAATCAGCACTTGCTCAGAAAAGCCTCAGAAAGGCTAGTTTTATCCTGTTCTTGAATCAGATTTATCAGATTTCTTCTAAATCTTTCAGTTTTCATGATCTACGGACTCTGGCCATTGCTAAAAGACGGACATCTTGATCCACATTACTACAATTGTTCGGGTCACACAAGAGAGGAATGGTTTGCAAAGGGAAGACCGAGACCACTATTGGCAATCTACTTGGAAGTAACTGGAACGGTTTTCATGGTAAACGAAAAGTACAACAAATTGGATAGTATCCCCCACGGAGATATTTTCCGACCCCGCATCGATAGGTTCTGATCAGTTTTTGAGATAGGCTTTTGAGATTTCGAGGAATTTAGGGTGATTACTATTTAAGAAATTCCAATAGGAATACTTTCCAATAGGAAAAAGTATTCCAATAGGAATACTTTAAATAGTAGTCACTTGGAACACTTTTTCCTATTGGAAAGTATTCCTATTGGAATTCCTTAAATAGTAATCACCCTAAATTCCTCGAAATCTCAAAAGCCTATCTCAAAAACTGATCAGAACCTATCGATGCGGGGTCGGAAAATGTAGCTGACTGAGCTGACGATGAGATCTTGTGGGGGATTAGAGTGTTGAGTTTCTGTGAAAACTTTGGAGGCCGTAAAATAGTCATCAACTCGGCTCGACCGGTGCTTGGGGATATAATCTCATAGTACCCAAATAATACTTTTGATTTCAGCTCTTTTATGTCCTCTCCTTAATCGGAATGATCAAAGCGAAATTGATTTTGAAATCGCCTTGCTATGTGATCATGGTGTTCATGGGGATTGGTCGGTTTGGATTTGATTTGCTTCTTAGAAATCAGTGTACTGTATCATTGCTTCTTAGAAATCAGTGTATTGTTATAAGTCAAGATAAAAGTTAAACAATGTACGGTAAAGTTAGCAATTACCGTAAAGACTGTAATTGGACCCCACCCCTCTAATAGTACCCCCTCTAATAATACCCCATGGGGTCCAATTACAGTATTTACGGTAGGTGTAGATTACTGAGGCAATGAATGCCTTGATTTGAATCACATTTGTTTGTGAGAGTTCAATTCTAGGTGATTTGACGATGATTGTGATGAGCTCGTGGATAAGTGGGTATTTGATGTGGATTGGTGCTGTCTTTTGCACAAATCAACATTTAATCTATACGACAGGAACACTTGGGCTTGGTGAGTTGAATGTTTTCTCAATGAAATTTTGATTTAAGGAATGTGGTCTTCATCTTGTTGTTGCTGTATCATGTTGGCGACAAATCGTCTGGCTGAGATCGCTGATTGGCATTTTGTGACAGAGCTCTTGACAAAGAAGGTGTGCACGGTGATTTGGTGAGTCAGTTACAGTATTCTTTCGTAGTTAAGGATTCTCCGAAGGTTACAGTACTGTACTCTAGTAGCTCTAGTGCTAGTACAGTACTCTAGTAGCTTTAGTTCTTTCGAATAGTACTCTCTTGGAGTACTCTCTTGGAATAGTACTCTCTTGGAGTATTCTCTTGGAATAGTACTCTCTTGGAATAGTACTCTCTTGGAGTACTACCTGGTACTTACAGGTGAGTACTCTTAGTACTATCTGGTACTTACAGCACTCTGTAATAACTACAATACTTGCAACAGTTACAGTACTCTACTCTTAGCTACAGTACTCATCCTTTCAGTGCCCTTGGTCTTTGCTACGGTATGTCAATCACCCTCTTCACCCCATCAGCTCTATTCCATTCTCCACTCGGCGCTTGGTTCTTCAACCCTTACACAGATAACAGTGCATCGGTTGATTCAATTTGATTCAGTCCCTAATCTTTCCATTAGCTCTACTATGACAACATTCCACACCGTGCCAACAATGCGATTGTCTCGATTTTCGCCATTTTCATCTATTCCTATATGTGCTATAAAGCGGCGAAGAATTGGGGATGGGCCACTGGGGCATCAAAAGCTCAGAGAATGGTTGGTTTTGAGGATTCAAAGGAAACCTGCAAAAATTCATATCTAATTTGTTTTCCAAGTCTGAAAAAACAGCATTCATTTTGCTAACTTGCTGGAATACTGAACCTGAATTTTCCTTTGGATTGGTCTAACTTTGGTCTAACTTTGTTCAATTCATGAAACTGTTAACCTTCTATGTAGCTGTACTTGTGTACTTGTGTGTAACTGTACTTGTGTAACTGTATGTAACTGTACTTGTGTACGCTAACTGTACTCCAGTACATTTAGATTACTGTACTCTATTTAGAGTTTCCCTTCCCTTACAAAAGTCTTTCAGCTTTACATCCAAGCATTCATCATTTGTTCGACTCACGTCTTAGCTGCTTGGGGTTATCTTTTTATGAACTATGTGCCCGGTTTCCCGCAATCGCTCATGGTCTTGGGGCATGTCGCTTGGCAGTGGAGTCACGGTAAAGATTAAAGACAAACAAAAACAGTTAAACTTTTGAACTCTTTGCTTTCTATCAATTTAAACTATAATCTCATTCTCATTCTCATTCTAGCTTTCTAACAGTAATCTCATTCAAACCTTAGCTGAAGATAGGAACTCTAAAGGAGCTTTGAAGCTTTTCTGAGTCACTCAGCTTTGAATCTGAGTTAAATCTGACCAAGCTCAAGCTTGGCTTTTAATCTGGATAAGCTTTACTCGAAAAAAGTCTTTTGGAACATCTTCGTTTGTAAATCTAACTAACTGTAACCTCTAACTGTAACCTCTAACTGTAACTAACTGTAACCCTCTAACTGTAACCTCTAACTGTAACTAACTGTAACCTCTAACTATAACCTCTAACTGTAACTAACTGTAACCTCTAACTGTAACCTCTAACTGTAACTAACTGTAACCCTCTAACTGTAACCTCTAACTGTAACTAACTGTAACCTCTAACTATAACCTCTAACTGTAACTAACTGTAACCTCTAACTGTAACCTCTAACTGTAACTAACTGTAACCCTCTAACTATAACTAACTGTAACCTCAAACTGTTCTTCAGGTGTCCCCGGTGTCGTCTATTTACTCTTAAATCAAACCATCAAAACGACAATCATTGAAATGTTTGGTCTATCAAAAAAGGTCTGTTTTATGAAAATTTTATTATAATTTTATTATAATTTGATTGAAATTCGATAAATTCAGAAAACTAAACCATATTTCTTCGGGAATCACGAAAGTAAATCTGAAAAATCGAACACAGAACTCACGAAAAAGACAAGAAGCTCGTTGCATTGAAAATCTTTTTAAAAACGGATTTAAATCAACAGTGATCAACAAATATTGAATAAAAGTGATGTCAGTTTTGAAAAAACTTTGCAAATCACACCTTTCATCCAGTTGTAATCGTTGGAGCACCTCTTATTTTCAAGACTCTAGAAGAATGGCTTCGATCTCGCAAGAAAACGATACAAAATAGTCTAAAAGCCTTCTTTGTCTAAAAATCTCTGTTTAAATAACCCTTCCATAACACAAGAGGCTTGCCACATAGCTGTATAACAGATAAAAGTTGCCATATCGTTTGCAGTAAAGGTTAAAATGACGAGAATCCCCACTGTTGACACTACAACAGCACCGTTACTGAACATCATCTGGAAATGATAAGTCGAAAGTTTGGGCTACCGGTAGCTAGTGGCTGTGGCGCAGTGATGGCAGTGAAGGGCTTTTCTACAGCGCAAAGGATTCGGGTTCAAACCCCCGTGCCGCTAATTTTTGATTTTTTATTTGGAACTGCACATATTATAGTTTACTACAGTTTTGAGTATCCTAAAATCTTTGCAAGGTCATAAATCAAAACTGAGCCTGATCATCTTTACTCCAGCTCCAGTCATCTTTACCCCCGCTCCAGTCATCTTTACCCCCGCTCCAGTCATCTTTACCCCGCCCAGTCATCTTTACTCCAGCTCCAGTCATCTTTACCCCGCTCCAGCATCTTTACCCCCGCTCCAGCATCTTTACTCCAGCTCCAGCACTTTACCCCCGCTCCAGTCATCTTTACCCCGCCCAGTCATCTTTACTCCAGCGCATCTTTACCCCCGCTCCAGTCATCTTTACCCCCGCTCCAGTCATCTTTACTCCAGCTCCAGTCATCTTTACCCCCGCTCCAGTCATCTTTACCCCCGCTCCAGTCATCTTTACCCCCCGCTCCAGTCATCTTTACTCCAGCTCCAGTCATCTTTACCCCCGCTCCAGTCATCTTTACCCCCGCTCCAGTCATCTTTACTCCACCTCCAGTCATCTTTACCTGTGTTAACAAAAAGTATTGCTTCTTCAGATTTGCTCGTTGTTGATGTAAACTTTTGAGTTTAAAAATCTAGAAGAAACATTTTTGATAATGCCAACGATCTCACTTTCATTCGTCGATAAATAAGAATAAAAGTGATCGTGTCAAGGAAGAGACAAATCATGATCGTTGCATAGCCGGCGAAAGGCTGAAAATTTGCATATTAGACTTATTTTCTATTCTTGAATCTAGCCAATCCTTTTCTGCCTTTCATAGATTACTTTTTGTACTCTTTAACATTTTTTTAGTCTCATGAGCTAAATGGATCTGAAAAAGTTGAACGTTTTCTTTCAGACAATGGCTCTTTGTATCTTCTTGAGAATTGTACCTGCGAAATATTAAGATAAAGATCACTGTATGGACTGTTTTCGAGAAAGAACGCGTTCACCCCGTCGGTCACCCAAATCACACGAAATCCGGCTGTAATTGGAAAAATGACTTGGACTTTGTGATGAGATGTACTTTGTGTTTTTCAAAATGCATTCTTTCTGGCAAAGTGATCGCTTTTAGATTGAAAACTTTTGAAGGCTTTTGAAAGCTTTTCGAGACTTTTGTGAACTCGATTAGCTGGTTAAAACGTATCCCAGCTACCTCAACTACTTTATCTTAGATACCGTATACTGGTTACTAGATAATAGATTACTATATCGAGTAATCCTTAATAAAAATACAGCATCTTGTTGCTATTCAGCCTTTGCTACTATCTACACGGGTTGTACTTGGGTTACAAGCTACAAGCTTGTAATTGGGTTCCAAACTACGGTAGTCAAGGCTTAGAACAAGCCTAAGTCGACCCTAGCGCCTAAAAACTCTTTTACTCAAGGTAAGCCTATCGTAAAAACCCACGAAATACCATCGGCGCACTCATCAGAATCGAATAGCCGATCAAAATACTGTATTGGAAATTTTTGTGATTTTCCATGATTCCATAAAATTTCCCCTCAAAGATAATCGCGGTAAAGCGATTAATGCCCAATAAAATCTAAAATTTTCTCTATTTCTCTAACTTTTCAAAGAAAACCTTTGATATTAAGATCACTGAGATCAATCCAAAAGCGATGAAGCCGAAAATATTGTCGATAAGGGGAATGTTGACGCTTTCAGACCTAAGAATTGATCAAATAAAGAAAACGTGGCATTCGGCAAGGATAGCGTCAGGAAAAGCTTGATAAAAAAGCTTAATTCAAAAGCCTCATCCAATCTGCCACCATAGCCTGACTAAGGGACTGACTAAGAGCTCTGTATCTTAGTCTGGAGGTCAAGGGTTCAACCCCGCTGGCTAGACTATCGATTTTTCCCTAAATTTAGAGCTTAAGGCTGTGCTTGAGTATTGTTTGGACCACATTATTCGTGTGAATAGATTAAATTATAATCTATTCCTAAGTCTAACATCGAACCAAAGTGCTCTCGGCATTCCCCAACACAAATGACAAGCATTGATCGTTGTCGCGGAAAGAGTAATGCAAAGAAGAAAATGGCGAACGATTCCATTGATGACAGAACTGTTGAGGACTACTCGAAAGCCATAGAGACCAGTCAAAACGCCGAGAATGCCTAGCTAAAAATGTTGAAAATGTTTAGGTTTTAAGAGGGTTTCAAATGGAAATCTGGTCTAAGATTACAATTTTGAACGAGCAGTCTGACAGATCTTGAAAAGGTCTTGATAAGATCTTGAAAAGGAAAACCTGGCAGGGGTAATTCCTTTCAATATCAAGTACTTGATTTACATATAGTTGTTAGACTTTAGACTTAAACTTATTTGAATAGGTTTAACATTTCGCCTGTATGGCTACACTTATCCTCTGGTGAACTCAAGTATTTTAGATAAGAATATAAGATAAGAAAGCTTAACAAAGAAGATTTGTTACTTTAAAATAAAGTATTGTAAAATAATAAAAGAATATTGTTACTGTAAAATCAAATATTAAAACTCACAGCAAATATGAAAAGCACTTGAACATCATTGTTAATATTCCCTTGACCAAAAGACATCTAAGAATGTCAAAGATTCAAGTCAAAGGTCAAAGCTAATAGCTGGATTTTCCGAGAACTTGAATTTCCTGTTTTCTCGAATAGCAAATATTTCTTTCTAAAATAATTCAAGACAAAAAAAATCCCTGGAGATTTTGAGACGATTTCTTGAGAAATTTTCTCGGAAAAGGTTCATTATCAGCCTATGAATAGGCTTTGTAGAAAATATTTTGTTAATTTCTTTTTAGGCAATTTAAAGAATCAAAAAATCAACTGATTTATCATTAGACCAGCGGAAAACGCTCACTAGCGCTCTCGAACGCTCACTAGCGCTCTCGAACGCTCACTAGCGCTCTCGAACGCTCACTAGCGCTCTCGAACGCTCACTAGCGCTCTCGAACGCTCACTAGCGCTCTCGAACGCTCACTAGCGCTCTCGAACTCGCTCACTAGCGCTCTCGAACGCTCACTAGCGCTCGCTAGCGCTCTCGAACGCTCACTAACGTTCGCGTTTTTCACTGGGGAGGTCCACGTTTTCCGCTCAATCTAAGCCCTGCCCCTTTTTGCCAATGACTGAGCACAGACGGACAGGAATGCCAACCTAATTTAGATAAAGCATAAGAACAGACGTCTCTCATGCTTTATATAAATTAGGTTGGCAATCATGAAATGTCGGTTTGCTATTTTTTGTATTTTCAACTTTGAAAAGCAATAATTTCCCGCTTTTTTCATAAATATAAACAAGTCTTTAGATAGATAGATAGAATAAAAAACATTTAGAACGCCGTTCAATTTAGAACATTTAGAACATCTCTAGCCGTTCAATTTCTGCCACAAAAATCGAGGACGAAAAATTTCGTATTTGAGCTGCTTTATTCTATGATTTTAAACAAGGAAAATCGAGGGCTGAATCTCATCGCATCATTTTTAAATCTTTTTGAATATGATAGTATTAGTGAGCGTCAATGTCAGAGATGGTTTTGAATGTTTTCAAAATGCTGATGAAAGCCTCCATGATGAGCCAAAGGGTAAACCCCCCGTCAAAAGTGCCAAACGAACATTTCCTTCAAATTATTGACGACAACACTAACTCTTTGTGAGCTAGCAGAATTTTTTTGAGGTATCTCATAGGACAATTGAAAATGATTTGCATCAACTTTGGAAAAAGAGCCGCGTTGGAAAATGGGTTCCTCATGAACTGACTCAAATCAATAAAATTACACGTCTCAGCTTGCTCAATCTTGCTTCAAAACTTCAAATCACACGATTTTTCCAGTAGAATTTTGAATTCTGATGAGACATGGGTTAGCTATGAGAATATAAAATGAAAAAAACTAATCGCTCTCCATTGGGCAAACACCCAAACCCGACATCCATGGGAAAAAGATCATGCTATGTTGCTGGTGAAATGTAAAAGGATTGGTGCATTATGAGCTGTTGAAACCTAAAGAAACAGTTGATGCCGACCTCTACGCAAAGCAATCAATAAGAGTTAACAACGCTTTGAAGAAATTGGGGCTTAAATCGTCGAGAGTCCGACTCGTGCACGACAACGCAAAACCTCACACAGCAAACTCATGAGAAAATCGAGGCGCTCGGCTGGAAAGTCTTGCCTCACGCGCTTTATTCACCTGATCTGGCTCCTTCTGATTACTTTTTGTTTCGATCGTTAAAACAATTTCTTGAGGGAGAAAAATTTGATGGTCTTTCTCAGATCATAAAAGCCCTCACTTTACATCCAAAACTCCATAGTTTTTTGGGAACGGTATCCGTGATTTGATGGGAACAAATCATGACTAATAATGACGAATACCTTTTGAATTAAAACCTTTTCTTTCGTGTTTTTTTAATAATTAAATTATCACCAAAAACCGACATTTCATTGTTGCCAAACTAATTGACAAAATAATGATCAAGAGTGAGAAAAGAAATTTTACTCAAAGCAAAGTATCACAATAAATTTTGCACACGAAAAAAAGAGGAATTGGTGAAAAGTTTTTTAAAAAAACAATATTTATAGAGTGTCCGGAAAAAAGTGGCCATCGGGTTGAGTTTGGAAAAATTTTCTCGTTGATTTTTCAACGCTCATCGTGGTGTCAAAAATGGTTTTGCCTCAGGGGTCACACAACAAGATCAAGTTGATTTTTTTTGATGACTTTGTGAAATGGGGTCCCATATTCATCGATCCCCGATCCCATATTCATCCCCGATCCCCGATCCTCGATCCCCGATCCCCGATCCCATATTCATCGGCTGGGGAGCTCAAAATCCACGTTTACATGAAAAACACACTTTTGAATCCCTCTATCTCCCCACAAAACTTTCTGCTTTTACTACAAAATGTCAAGAATCCACTAGAGCTTCAAGATCAAAATCCACCACTTTTTTTTTCCGGATACCCTGTAGATATTTTTACATAAAATTAGCATATCTTACAGTTTCCAGTAATCAATTTTGCTTACAATTTCTCGTTTTTCCGCTTGAATCGACACATTCGATGATTTGAGCGCATATGAGCAACCAAATCAGTTGTCAGTCTGAAATTCTTCAGTGAAAGATAAATTCTTTTTAAATTCCTAATTTGTTAAGCTTTAATAGCATTTTGTAGATAAATGATTGGCTTTTTCAATGAAATAAACTGTTTAGTGCATTTGTTGATTTGAAATGAAAGCTGAAAAGAAATGAAAAGGCTCTGGATAGTCAATTGGACAGCCAATTGGACAGCAATTGGACAGCCAATTGGACAGCAATTGGACAGCCAATTGGACAGCAATTGGACAGCAATTGGACAGCCAATTGGACAGCCAATTGGACAGCCAAATTGATTGAAAAATATCAAAGAACTTTACAAATTGCTTGGCTTTAAAAGCATAAATCTTAATCTCTTTTTGAATAGATAAAACCTCCAAATGTTTCCCTCAGAACAAATTTTCCTTACCTAAACGATGCTCCACAAATCGCGCACGAATTCTCGATTCCCTGTGACGGTAAACCCAAAGCTGAAGCGACAAGCGGATTCGGAATTTGAGCTGAAATCGTTTTTTTTTGCCTCAAATAACCTCAAATAAAACTTAAAATTTGAACTTTTTACTAGAAACTATGTTTGTGGAAACTTTAATTGAAAATTTAGAGTTATTCGTGAAATCCGAAAAGTTATTCTTTAGCTAAAAGGCTTGGTAGTAAGATTTGTTAAGAAAGGGAACCATATTTGTTAAGATAGGAAATCAAATTTGTTAAGAAAGGGAACCAAGTTTGTTAAGAAAGGGAATCAAATTTGTTAAGAAAGGAAACCAAATTTGTTAAGATAGGGAACCAAATTTGTTAAAATGGGGAATCCAATGCTTGCTTGCCTTTTAGCCTTTTACTACTACTATTAGGTTGATGCATAAGTCTTTTCGTTTTTTTCGTACTTCTGTTAAAAAGTAACAAATTCACCAATTAATCTATAGTTTGCTCTATAAAAAAAGTGTTTTTTTCTTCAATTTCCATCTTTTAAAATCAATTTCGGTTCACTTTCAAGCAAATTCGAGAGTGAAAAACGCCTTTTTCGTAAAAATCTATAAAAAACTCTACGGAAAAATTGGCTGAATGAATTTCTCTGAAATTTTGGCGAAATATCAAACGTTTTTTTCTCTATCTTTTATCTATTGACACGAAGATAGGTTTTCTTTAGCTAAGGTGTCTAAACCGCATCATCGAGTTAGCCCTTTTTGACTACCCGACTTCATACTCTCAAGAAAATCCAGGCATTAAATATTTTTAAACCCGTTTTAATGTTATTTTGCAGAAAAATAATTGGTTTTTCTAATGAAATCAACCGTAGTTTAATTGGTGCATTTGTTGGCTTGAAACGGCAGACGAAAAGGAACAAAAACACTTATGCATCAACCTATTAAAAGGCCAATTGAAGCTAAAAGTTTTACTCTAATCTTTTGATCTTCGGCTTTTCAAATAAACTCACAATTGTTCACATTGTTCGCATTGCTTGTCGAGGCTTCAGTGTTACTTTGTGATGGGATCACAGCTTGCTTTTGCTGCTTGAGATTCACTTGAAATTTCTTGTTGGCTTGTTGAAATTGTTGGATCCGCCAGGTGAATGGTTGCATTGATTGGATGTAATTCTGGGATTTGATAAATAAAAGATCATTAATAAAAGATTCAATTTCATTTCAAATTACCTCAACAAAGAGATTCAAGAATGGTTGCATGAATGGAGTGAATTGGGGAATGGAGATCGGTGCACAGTCGAGCTGCAAGTGAAGAGAACTGTCGAGAACTTTTAGCTCAAGAAATTCGCATTTGAATGCACTATTTTTATCTAGATCTACCGTACTTAGTTAATCTTACGGTAACTAGATATTTAACTAGATATTTAACTAGATCTTTAACTAGATCTTTAACTAGATATTTAACTAGATATTTAACAAGATATTTAACTAGATATTTAACTAGATCTTTAACTAGATATGTAACAGAAAGCTTTAAAAATGAATCGGAAATCGAAGACAAACCTTTTCCTTTTTAAGATTCTTAGGGCCTTCATCAAGGTCTAAAGCCGGATTCCAAATTCTTGACTTTTTCGTTTCTGTTGGAGTTGCCCTCTCTGGAGTTTCCATTCTGAAAAAAAAATCTTTTACAGTGAGCTGATTATGAGAACAAATTGAGAACAATGAAGCAAATAAAACGATTGGAAAGTGAGTTGAAAATGAGTTTAATGATAATACATTCAGGACGATTCACCAATCGACCGTACTAATAACGATTATTGTTCACTCAAACGATTATGTCAGCTCAAATCTTTAAAAGCATTTTTGTTATTTATTTTGCAGGAAGTTTTTCGTAACTTTGTATCAGTTTTCAAGAGGAGATTCAGAGCTGTCAAATGACTATAATAATATTTGATTTCTCTTTGAATTTACACCAAATTATCATTAAAACAGTGAACGAAGGGACTTCTAAATAGCGAATGTGTTAAAAAAGAAAGCAAAAGCTAATGTAAATAGCGAAAATAGCGTAAAATGTGTTTAAAAAAAGACGTAGAATCGATGAAGTTCATTTAAAGGGGAAGAACATTTATCAAATTAGTCTTTTCTTCGGATTACGGTAAGTATATTCATTGACTAGAAAGAGTATGGTGTAAAAGAATCTCTCTTTCCCCCGTCCAACTGTTTATCCCACCTCAATGCTTATAAATATGCCCCTTTTTCCTCTTCGAAAACAAGAGACAGACTACTGATTTCCCCTCTTTTCCCTCAATCCGTGAAAAGTGAGCAACCAATTATGGAGAATTTATGTAAATTTGTCATCATGGCAAATCTCTTATGCGAGCTGAGGATCAATATGGGAAAGTGTGGTAAAGCATGGTGAATGGGGAAGTGTGGTAAAGCATGGTAAATGGGGAAGTGTGGTAAAGTATGGTGAATGGGGAAGTGTGGTAAAGTATGGTGAATGGGGGTGGGAAAGTAGGTAAATGGGGAAGGTGGAAAGATGGGAAGGGGGGTGGAGATGGAAATGGGGAAGGTGGAAAGTATGGGATGGGGGGTGGAAGATGGTGAATGGGGAAGTGTGGTAAAGTATGGTGAATGGGGAAGTGTGGTAAAGTATGGTGAATGGGGAAGTGTGGTAAAGTATGGTAAATGGGGAAGTGTGGTAAAGTATGGTGAATGGGGAAGTGTGCTAAAGTATGGTAAATGGGGAAGTGTGCTAAAGGGGAAGTGTGGTAAAGGAAAAGTGTGGTAAAGTGCGGCAAAGGGGAATTGTGGTAAAGGAATAAAATCAAGTCAATGTTTTTAAATCGATTTTGCTCCTCGTGAGTAAAGCGTTTTTTTAAAACGCAAACTTGAGAAAAAAATTACCGTTCTTTTAGCGAGAATTATTGAATCAAAAGAAAATTCGATGATTGCCGCAAAAAATGATGAGGATGGCGCTTAAATATTGGATTAATGCATATGAAATTGCTAAATTTTTCTCCAGATTTCCCCAAATCAATCACCGAATTGCAAAAATAATTCAACTTTGATGTTCTTTTTGCGTCAAAGCTCTATTAGCTCGATTTTTTTTAATCAACAAAGTTCTTTTATGATTTGTTGCTAGTGAATATGAAATGGCTAAATTTTTCTCCAGATTTCCCCCAATCAATGACCGAATTGCAAAAAGTTCTTTTATGATTTGTTGCTAGTGAAAAGTGATGCCAATAATCAGCTTTTGTGACGAAAGATTTCAACTGTTTCACAAAGTATTTCAAGCAATCATAATCTTTATAAACCTTTTTCAATAAAAAGCCCAGATTCATTAAGAAAATCCAGGCTTTATCGCTTCAAATTCTTTTCAAAATTCAAAAAAAAAAGATATTGCTATAAGTTTACTGAAATGAATTTTTAAATAGAAATATGTTGATTTAAAAAAATATCGAGCTAAAAGAACTTTGAGGCAAAAGAACATCAAAGTTGAGTTATTTGCAATGATTGAAAAGTTTCTCCATGGCAAACAAGTTATTTAAGTTAGTTATTTAAGCTTAAGATTATAACTTTTCATTTTAACCAAACAGAAATTAGATAGTTGCTCTGGTGAAGAAATTAACATAAATCAACCATTTCATATGCACCCAATACGACTCCTTTTAAAGATATTCAGCAAAATTATTGCAAAAAAAATGACGAGCGACGACTTATTCTTCTTTTAAAGATATTCAATCATTTGACTGATTTGATGGCAAACTCCCTTCAAATGTAAAGATATTCAATTCACTCGACGTGTAAAGAGGATTACTCGTAGTTACTCGACTTTAAAAACGTCATTTAATCGAGTAAAAATTACTCATCTAAATGTAACTCGAGTAATTTACTTACTCGCAAGGAATACACTCTACTTTTAAAATTGATAAATTTATGAGTGTACTAAAAGAAGTTTTTCTAGAATTTCTACAATATTAAGATCTTTAAAATCAAAATTGTTCACAGAATTCTGTGAAAAGTCAAAGATTTAACAGACTCATGACATTCTTGACATTCATTTCCCTCTCTCATTCATTTTTCATTTATTTCCCTCTTTCCTTCTTTCCCATATGCGACAATTAGGTGGAATAATAGAGTCGGATTAGAGAACATTGCGCAATCAGCTCATTTCAGATAATGGCATGTATTTGGATGAGAAGTTTTGAAAAAAAAACCAAACATAAGATTGAGAATGAGACTTAAAGCCACTCTTGACTTTGAAAATGATTGGAAACGAAAGGAAATGGTGTAAGAGTTGGGTAACCGATAATTGAATTGAACCGATAATGAGAAGATGATCTGTGCAAAGCTTTGCAGTGCAATGGCTCCTATAAGATTTTAGTTTTAGATAGCTGACAAGAATCGGTGTAATGAAATCGCAAATGGAACTGAAGCTAAATGAAACTCCGTCGTTTTTGAGGCATATGGTAGCAAAAAGCGGTAGAAATTTGTCAAAGCAAATCACTTATAAGTCAAGTGATCTTAAATATTGAATCTCCCTTCTTTGTCCTAAATCTTTGGATCTCTTTTTTGACCTCTTCAATATCCCTTTGAGATTTTCCTCCGCGCCATATGACCCAAAGAAGTCTCCTTTTCACTCAGTTACCCAGCAATTCATCCATGAAAAGCATGGGAAACACTAACAGATTGTGACTTTTGAATGTACTTGTTGAGAAGCTGAGGTTAGGATGAATAGCTAGTGACAGAAGAATCTGCTGCAAGATTACAGCCAGTTACAGTATACCTGACAGGCTGCAAGAAGCCTGCCAGGTATACTGTAGCTGACTGTAACAGTTACTGTAACTGACAGAATTACAATATTCTTCAGCTTCAGTATCAAATGATCTTTGAATTCGATCAATAGCCAAGGTTTAAAGTCTCATCATAAACATTGACCTCATGAAATCAGATCTCTTCCTGCTCTAATTTGACATATGCAATCAATTAGGCAGAATAGATCAAGTGGTTTATAAAAGATAGTAAGAAGGGAAAAGAGAAAGGAAAAGAGCCAGTCGTTCTCAAAAGTATCGGGGTTATTCAACGAGATGTCACTTGTCAAAAAGTGAGTTTTTCCCGAGGGGAATTCGAGAAAAACTTGAGTGAATCTCTCAACTCAAAGAAGAAACATAAGGAGATATTGGGGAAAAGGGAAAATCCAGGAAAACAAATTCTTTGTTTGATTCAGATGACTACAAAGGTCCTTTAACAATAGAATATGATAAAGAATCATACAGTAAAAAGAGAAATGAATTTCTTCTATCAATCCCAGAGTCCAGTGTCGACTGGACTCTGGGATTGACAAAAGCTGGACTCAAAAAGAAAATGGGATTGCTTTTAAATCTTGCTTGATCAACAAGTAAATCTAGAACAATACCAAAACAAATTGAGCAGATTCTATAAGAGACTATAGAACAAATCCAGCAGCTGCAAGTGTTAATGGGATTTCTCTCGAAAGGGATGACCAATAGGGAGAATGGGGAAAGGGGTCACTTATTTCTTGAGCACAGTGGGATGTCCACAATAAATACTGTAGATCGAGGGGATCTTCAGATTTGGGAAACAATAGGGAAATCAGTTGGGATTAAGGAATTGGTTCTGAAGATGGTTTTGTAAAGAAAGATAAAACTGATCACGAGTCAATAATATAGTCGACTCTCTATAACGGAATGGACGGGACCAAAAAATGTTTCCGTTATATAGAGTGCCGTTTTCTATAGCTTAGAGTCAGCTGGGATCCAAATTTCATTCCGTTATATAGAGTTCCGTTATAGAGTTCCGTTAGAGAGTTCCGTTAGAGAGTCGACTGTTTAGTAAAAGTCTTTTCGTTCAGCTCGTTAAGCTCGTTCAGCTCATTTAGCTCATTTAGCTCGTTCAGCGCATTTAGCTCGATAAGAGTTCCATGATTAAGTAGTGATTTTAAGCTGAATCTAAAATCTATAACCTTTTCAAAGAAGATTTTGGCGGTGTAAATCGAAAATAGGCAGATTTTATAAGTTTTAACTAGAACTATTTAAAATAAGCTAAAATCTGAAGCTAATAAGTAAGTTTAACTTGAGAAAGGTGATCCCTATTGAAGATAAATCTCGGATCGATCTTCAAATCTTCAAATGTTCAATGGGATGAGTGAGAGAGATTCCCTTCCCCCATGCATATTCATTTCCCTCTTTTCTTCTTTCTTTCACCCATCTTCCTTTTGAATAGAGGCCAGGTTGTAA